CTGACCTGTCTGTCTCCTCTCCACCAATCTTCTCCTCTATCCATCTTTTATCCGCCTCCCCCTCTCTCCCTATTTATTTCAGAACCCCCTTCCCCTCCCCCATTTCTGAAGAAAGGTCGAGGCCCGAAACGTCAGCCTTCCTGCTCCTATGATGCTGCTTGGCCTGCTGTGTTCACCCAGCTTCTACGTCTTGTTGTCTCAGATTCTCCAGCATCTGCAGTTCCTACTATCCTCTGAAAGCATTTGTTTCGACAGTGAGCAGATTGGTTGTTGAAGTCATTAGCATGGATGATTTGTTAATTCCACGATCTTTTGGGTGAGATTACAGTGACTTGCCATTATCAAGACCAAAGATGAGAGCTTATTGCACTGATAATCGGATTCTCTTGCAGTAAGCTTTCTATCCTTTTGTATTTTAACAATATGTGACACTATGAAATCTCACCCTCACGAACAGTTTCAGAAAGACTGAAGACCCTGCAATGGTGTTGAAAGAGAACTTTAGAAGAAGGTTAATTTTTGAGACTGAAAAGACAGTAGTAGAGAGTTTATTGTACACAATGTAGGATCTCATGCGTCATGACTTTACCATACTGCATATCTCAACATGCTGTCATCAAGGCAGTCAGCTGTTGCTCCTCGATTCGCCCTTCAGTTCTTCCAATATTAATCAAACTCAATCTTGTTCTATTCCTCATTAAAAAGGTTGCAGAGGTATTTGTCTTATTGAGTACAAGCGTTATTCAATGTTGTTAACATGTGTGGTCTACGCAATGCTTGGTTTGATTTCCCAATTTATGCTGAGTAAAATGATCTCTGTGGTAGCAGCTGAAATGTTATAATTAGTTTCAGTCAGGGCTGCATGATAGATTTGGTATACTGGTTCCAATTATGGAGAAAGAGGTGAATAAAGAGCAGGCTGCTGTCTGCCTTTTCTCAAAACTGTGGATTTCTAGAATTGTTCATATTAGCCCTAAAAGGAGAAGAACCAAAATGTTAAATTCTCTGAATAACTTTTTTTCCTCTCTTTCAGGTTTTGTGGTGTTTGCAACTTTTGTCATCACTGTTTCTCTGATCCTTATTTTTGTTGTTGGACCTCGCCATGGGCAGACAAATATCCTGGTTTACATAACCATCTGCTCTGTAATCGGCGCACTCTCCGTCTCCTGTGTGAAGGGCCTCGGTATTGCTATTAAGGAACTGTTTGGTGGGAAACCTGTACTTACTTACTCTTTGTCATGGATCCTTTTGCTGAGCCTTATAGCTTGTGTAAGCACTCAAATTAACTACTTGAACAAGGCACTGGATATTTTCAACACTTCCTTGGTGACGCCTATTTATTATGTATTCTTCACTACATCTGTTTTGACATGTTCTGCTATTCTTTTTAAAGAATGGTATCATATGGATACTGATGACATCATTGGCACATTGAGTGGCTTCTTCACTATTATAGTCGGCATCTTTTTGTTGCATGCCTTTAAAGATATCAATTTAACATTGGCAACTTTGCCCGTGTTCATGAGAAAGGAGGAGAAGGGATTCGCAGTGAATGGGAGTGTACATTATGAGCGATTAGAACACAATGTGGAAAATGAAAGCTGTACCGAGAGTTCGGACATACACTCCTCAGATATGGTTTCCTCCAGAAGAAATGGAAATATGATCACCATGTGAGAATTGGAAAACAAAATGTTAACAGATAAAGGAAAAGCACTGCCCTGTCTATAGTAACTCTGCTGTCATAGTTACCAGAATTGAGCTGCTTTGTAAAAGGTCATCTGTGTTGGTGACTTCACTTATTGTAAAGGTGTCTCTAGGGACAATCATTTTTCCATCAATGTGATTGGGATGGACCAAGGGTTATTAAATTGCATTTTTATTTGCCTTATTTTTTCATGGCTCTTTTTTTAACATATTTTAAATAATGCATTGTGGCTTACATGGTTTAAGTAACTACGAGAGGGAAAAAATCACCATGTAACAATGTACATAAGCCCATATTTTAAATATTTTTTGAAAACAATATTGTACTTTATGCACTGAGGGTTTTAATTTAAAATGTTTGAAATAAAATTCTTTTGGAGTTGCCTTTTCTTAATATATCTACAATATATTGGAGAGAGAAAGCAAAAAGTAACTTCACATTTCAGGTCAGGGTTCCACACGTGGAAATTATGTACGAGAACAAACTCTTATTTTGCTTGTGTTTAAAATAAGCCTTTGCCTAGAGTTAATTCATTTTTTTAAAGCTAAGCCTTATGGTCATGAAGCTAAAGTCAGTGTAGCAAATTTAAAGTAGTTGAGGTGATTTGGGGATTCACAAACAAATGTCATTTTATTCTGGCTTTCTGGCCTTTTAAAATACATTGATTTCATTATGATACCTTTCTTATAGTGTCCTTTTGTTTCTTCCACATTCTAAGTCCTTCAATTTACTCTGCAGGCTGTCATCTCAAGATGTTGGAGTTGGACAAACTATTAGTAATATGATCTCCCTTAATTTCGCCTTTTCAGAAAATCCTAGGCTCCCCAACATTTCTAGGAAGTTATTGGAAGTTTCCTTAACTTGTCACCTTATAGCCTGGTGTATCTCCTACTGTACCATTACCATCAAGCCAGGAATCAACCTGATGAGGTCAGAACAGGACTGTTTGAATGTTAAGCAATGTAAATTGCATGTGATGGAGTATGTGATTCCACAACCAATAGGTCAGATTTAAGTACTGCAGTCCTACCAAATCCTGTCATGAATGGTGATAGATCGTTAAATTACAGGAGGAGGAAGAGGGTCCACAAGTATCCTCAATGACCAGTACAAAAGACAGGACTAAAGTATTTACATCCAACTTCCTCCAGAAGTACTGAACGCATGATTCACCTTAAGTTGCCAAGTGTTATAAATGCCAGCCATCAGCTAATTCAATGCAGTTATTAGACTGGTGTCCACCTGACAATATTCAGGATTGGTCAGATAGTCCTGGCCACAAAAGGCAGGACAAATTCTACCTGGCTATACACGAACTCAACAGCCTCCTCTCAATTATCAACAGAGTTATGGAAGATGCTACCATCAGATCAACTATGATCTCATTGAATGGTGCAGCACACTCAATGGACTAAATGGCCTGGTTCTGTCTAAACTAAACCTTAAGCTTAGAAAGAAAAACAAGTTCCAGAAGACTATAACAAACTTTGAGACCCTATTGTTTACCTTGCTGGGTCTCAGAACAATCAAAAATAGGCAAATAATAAAACCATTAATGGTGCATGAGTCAGGAGTCAAAAGCTTATAAAATAATTCACTGTGGCTACTGAAATGTTTGCAAATTAATTGTTCACTTCAGACACAGAAAACAGGGTACTAATTCAAAAAGCTAATGAATCTTACAATGCATTTAAATATATGAATATAAAACATGGTTTATGTCACACCACCAAAGAAAAATTAAGTATTTTAATGAAGTGTTTTTCTTATTTTTTAAAACAAAATTGTCAGTAATTCCAGATCATACTAACTGCATATTAACATTATACACTGAATTACACAGCAATACAGTTCACACCCCATCACAGTCTCTGGCATATGCACTTTTGAAAAAGTATGTTTTTTTCCAGGCACATAAAGGATTTTCAAATTATTCAATTGGAGAATTAAGTTCCATAAAGATAATCATAAATTCTTGTACTGACATTTTTGTAAGAAAATCAAAGCTTTGTAAAATTTGTGGCTTTATGCTTGAATGTGCTTCGTGTTCAGAACAAAACAGATTAATTAATGACACATAAAGGTTAACAGACATGATCTTATAGCCATTATAGAGCCATGGTTACAAGGAGATCAAAGCCAGGAACTAAATATTCAGGGCCATGTGACTTTTCAAAAGGACAGGCAGGAAGGGAAAGGATGGGATAGCATTGGTGGTGGGGATGGAAAAAGTATGGTAACAAGAAATAATCTTCAACTGGAAGATGTAGAATCCATAGTTGGAGGTAAGAAATAGAAGAGGAAAGAAACTGGTCGGCGTTCTCTATTGCCCAATCCCTATCCTCCAACAGTAGGACAGAGAATAAGGACAGCATGTAACAAAAGCTGTAGATTAATCATGATGACTTTAATTTTCATGTCAGATTGGTAAAGGAAGCTGTGAGGAAGAATTCATAGAGTGTACTCTACTGGTTGAAGAACAATGATAGATGTTTAATAGTTCATGGTTCACAGCAAAGACATATTCCAGTGAGGAAGAAGGATTCTAGGAATGTGATGAGCCAACCATGGTTAACCAAGAAAGTTAAGCATAGCATCAGATTGAAAGAAATAAACATACAAAGTGGGAACAACTAGTGGTAAGCCAGAGGATTGGGAAAATCTTTAGAGCCAACCAGACAAAAATAAAGAAGAAAATAAATTTTAAGATAGTGGAACTGTGGAATTATTACAACAGAAGGCTGTGTCATTAAGTATATTCAAGGCTGAGAGATTTTTAATCAATTAAGGGAATCAAGGATAACGGGAATAAGACAGGAAAGTGAATTTGAAGATTATCTGATCAGATCTGAGATTCATTACCCCAGAGTGGGGTGGATGCTAGGACATTTAAGGAGGAGATTTTTAAATTAGTAACAGGTTGAAAGGTTATGGAGTGCAGGTAGGGAAATGGATTTAAGACTAAGATGAGATCAGGCACAACCGTATCAAATGGTGGAGCAGGTTGGAAAGGCTGAACTGCCTACTGATCTGAGTTATGTTTTTGGATTCATTATTTGTTGAGCTTCATTCAGATTTTGTTTAGCCAATTCACACGTTGGTCAATCTCTCTGAAATTTGAGACATCATTTGGAAACATTATTTCTGAGCTTTACTCTATCAACTTTCATTAAAGTGGTCCTCTTATACCATGTCCATGTATTAGTCCATAAAATCTAAATCCTGTGGTCATTAGGAGTGCCCATAATGACAATCAGTAACAATGGAATTCCTTTATCCCAATCATTAAGATGTTCTTGATAAAAGATCTAGTCTTCAAAGTTTGATGCTATCTTTCCAATGTACCTTGAGATTGTGGGTAATTTGCAGATGTATATTAATTCCTAAACTTGTCATTATTTCTTTATAAATAACTGCAACATAAAATTTGAGCCACGAACTGATTAAAATTTTTTGGCTAATCCATATCTTGCAAAAACTTGAACTAACTTTTCTACACCATACCACTTTTGCAGCAATTTCTCCTAAAGGTCCTGCTCTAGGAAATCTTGTATAAACATCCATTTACGTGAAAAGATGTTGGTTCCCATTCCTGGCTTTAAGAAGGAATCCTACATAATCTGTTAAAACCCAACCAAATGGTTCTTCAAAAGTTGGTGTTGGAACTAAAGATACAGTTTTATTTGAGGTTTGGGATTTCCCCACTACTTGAGATGTATGCAATGTGGGGCAAAATTTGACCACATCTTTATGTAATCCTAGCCAATGAAAATCTTTTAATATTTTAACCAGTGTTTTCCTAATACCTTAAGAGACCTGTCAGTGGAATTTTGTGAGCCATTTGTAAAATTTCATTGAAACTCAGGTGGAATTACCCACCTGATGGATTACTGTCCCTTCCTCACCAGCTGGTATTTGAGGTGGTCTCCTTTCCACATTAAGACTTTGTTTTTCAAGTAATAGCACTCAGGTATTGTCTTTGATTCCATTTCTGAGTATGCTGTTCAATTCCAAATCTGTTTGTTGCATTTCTATGAAAGAAGATGAACTAAACATATCAACTTCATTTGCTTTGCCTTCATTCATTACAAATTTTCAAATATTGCATTCATTAACTGAACTCCCAAGTTATCTCTCTGTTTCTTGAACTCTTTTTCTTCTCATCTACTTGTAAGCGTCTGCATGAGTACAACTCCAAGAACACTCAAAGAGAGCTTGACACGATCCAGGACAAAGCAGCCTGCTTGATAAGTACCCTATTCACCACCTTCAACCTTAATTCTCTTCATACCAACAATTGTAATAATGTATTTACAAGATGCACAGCAACAAATCACACCAATTCCTTACACACCTTCCAAATGCATAACCTCTATTATCCATGTTAAGAACTAGAAGTAGGCACTTCAGCCTCTCAATGCTGCACCATTTAGTATAGTTATGGCTGATCACATCATGGCTTCAACTCCACTTTCCTGCCTGCTCACTGTAACCGTTTAACCCATTCCTAATTGAAAATTTCTCTCTTCAAATTTATTTAATGTCCTGGTGTCCACCTAGAAGGACAAGGGCAGCAGATGCATAGGACACCACCTGCAAGTTCCCCTCACTCTCATTCTTGACTTGGATGTACATTGTTATTCTTTCAGTGTTACTGGGTCAAAATCCTGGAACTCCCTCCTTAACAGTACCGTGGGAGTCCCTCCAACCCCCAGAGACAGCAACAGTTCAAGAAGGAAGTTCACCACCATCTCAAGGCCTATTAGGAATGGGCAATAAATGCTGATCTTGCCAGTGATGTGTACATCCCATGAATGAATAAAAACAAGCTACAGGACGTAACTTAGTTGACCCTCAACATAGCCAAGTTCTGGGAGTAAGTGGAGGGAGTAAGAGGAAATTCAATGACTTTTCCCGGAAAATGTGCACATATGGATGGATATAGACTATAATTGAATCAAGTTCAACTACATTAAATTACACGGTTTAGTAATCTTTTGATGAATTGTGCCAAAAGGTACAGAATTTTACAGCCTAAGTAGAGGCTATTCAGCACCTCAAAAATGCAATCAACTTAGTTCCAGTTTTCCAACATTTTCGTGTAACTTTCTAATAATGATGATAGATTTTGCTTCCAGAACTCTCATCTGATTTTCTGTGCTCAAATGCTCTCTAACA